ATATTTTCCTAATTAGAAGGAATTTAATCGATACTAGTTTATTTCTCATTCTTTAAAGAACAAAAAGATTATGCATTTCTTATTTATTATTAAACGAGCTTTTAAAAATAAAATATTTAATAAATATGAAAGGCTTTTGGTCATACTTACTGGGACTAAACTTTGTGGTGCTGCCATCTCTTAGCAAATTTAAGTAAGATAATTTAATTTTGGTGCTGCCCTCTCTATTTTTGTATACAAACAAATATAAATCTTTTTTATTGAAAAGAAGGTGGTGTGAAGAGTTAAATATTTTAATCAAACCGATTTTCTTAAATGAAGGTGAAATAATATTAATCTTTAACCTATTAAGATAATTCTTAAATTTATATAAAAAGAGAATATAGAATATTTTCAGTTTTTATTTCTTTTTTCTTTTTCTATTTTTAATCGGTTGAAATTCAATCAGAATCCTGAAAAATATTTAGTTTGCTTTGGAATAAGTACGATTTGAATATTAAATCTGAAAGAATTAATATTTTATAGTAAAAACTTTTCATTCTTGAAAATTTAAAAGGAAATTTAAAAAAATAAGAAAAAAAAAGTAGATCCTTCTTTAGAAGTTTTCAAAACTAGTTAATATGATAACTAATTTTCAAAATTTTTAAAAAGAATAATTATATTTTGTATTAATTTTTATCATTATCTAATCTTAGTTGAATGAGTATGTTAAAAATAGAGCTTTAAAAACATATTTCAAAAACGAACTGCTGCTCACTTTAACAGCAGGTTTTTTTTTTTCCTTCAAAGTTTATTTAGTAACCTTTAATTAGAGAAGACAAAATAAATAATAAATTGTTTTCATATAAATATTTAACTCACACAAGAAAACTACAAGTAATACATTAAATATAATTAATTTAAAAGAGGTATTTAAAAGAATGTAAATATAAATTACTTCGCATGCATCCATTGCTCTAATGTAGTGTAAGTTGTAACACCTGAATGTGAAAATAATAAATCAAACGAAAGTTTCAAATGTAAATAAACGGAAGAAAATAAAAGTAATTTGAAGAAGCTTGAATTATTTTATAATATATGAAATATTTACAAGAATTCCTTTATTATTTTTCTTAAACTTAGCTTCATTTACAATGTTTATAGAAAGTAAGATAGAAATCTAAATTTACCGAGTCTAAATTATCATAAAATATAAATTTACCAAATCTAAATTATCATAATATCTAAATTATTCTAATTATTGTAAGTAACTCCAAAAAAATTTATTTTATGGTGCTGCCATCTATGTACCTTATTTAAAAGCTAATGAAAAAATAAAAAAGTAAATTGAAAAACGAAAGACTAAATTTTTGTTTAAGATAAATTAATAGGACCGTTCGTCCCTCAAAAAGGATAAATTATTATTTTTTTTTTGGGGGGGGGNTCGTTTTTCTTTTGAGAAGCGGATTTTTTTTTTTTTAATTATTGAAATTATTTAGACATATTATTATGACTCGATGTGTAAAAATTGATAATTATACAAACAATGTGCATCGAAATTTCACCGAAAATATTTCTATAAACTATATTAAAAAATAGATGTTTAGAGCTACTCCGTGATAACAATAAAAATCTTACTTTTTATAGTTAAAATTATTGAATGCGTAATAGTTTTAATTGGATTTCTAACAACATTCTGCTATTGTAATGCCTTTCAGCCTATTCCTTTGTGATATTTATGCATTGTGAATCATGAATGTGAATAATCTTACATATAAATATACAAATATATCGTTTCACCTTTTATTTATCTGACTTTCGAATATTTTCTCCATTTATAGAACTATAATATTTGAATATTTTACAACGATTACAACGATAAATGTTTCATTTTTGTAATTTTTTAATGGATGAGAGTGAAATTGCACTGATTGTTTGATTTTGGCACTATTGCACAAGAGGACCGCACCAATTAATTCGGAATATCCGACCGACAGATCATACATTTTCTTCATAATATAGAGTATTCAAAGAAATTGAGTAACGAGGGAAAAAAGTGAAATCAGAAAATCTGAAGCGTCATAACATATGCTAGATAATATATTATAAAAAAATAATAATTTTACATAAATAAGAAAGCGGGATATATAAATAAGAATTCAGAATATTACAATGTGTACCACAACATTTGGTAGATAATATGATCTTTTCAAAGAAATTGGCTAGCAGGTAAAAAAAAAAATCCTATTATTTCTATTATATTGTGGTATTTCGTTAAAAATGTCAATAAAATTGAAGCATAGAGAATAATTTTACTGATTTTTGCTCGTTGAAATAAACAATATATATGATTATACTAAACTGATAAAAGTACTACAGCATAAAAAAAAAATGTACTTACTGTTCCAAAGAGTGTAAATTATTTGAGAGTTAAATTTAAGTTTGTAATTATTTTTAATAAACCAAAAATGAATATCATATGAAATACGTATAATTACAATTATTCAAGTAGTTATCTAAATACTGCCGAACGAACTCCAGTTTTCAATTGTGAATTTTCCCGACCCAGTAGGTCATTTAAGTGTCTTATTATTTTGATCTTAATAGAACACAAAACATGAATTTTTTCCAATCTTTTTATAAACATCAGCTAGGAATTTTGCACTACTAGTTATCACCTGAGTGAATTGTCATTTGCAGGTCTTTTTTTTCTTCTTTAATTGCACTTTCGTTTTAGATTATTTTGTTTTAGATTGATTGCGATAGTGCAGTTAGACACACATAGAAGACCACATTAATTGCACTCCTAGTTTAAATTGCTATTATTTTACACTAGTACCGAATCCACAGTAGAATGATATTTTATTAGATTACTTGAATACAATTCTTATAAACGATGCAGTAGCAGTAAGCTTAGTAAATCATATACCTCGTTGATTACACTAAAATATTAACTTATTTTTAAGAGAGTAAATCCGATAAACTTTCTCACCATATTCTAGTGTTTGCACTGTTATGTCTTCTGAGTGTGGACCACTTCCAACTTTATTGTAAGCCTGTAATCTGATTACGTACTGAGTAAACCTCCGAAGATTTGTGAGGTGATATTNGTTTATGGAAAGTAAGATAAAAATCTAAATTTACCGAGTCTAAATTATCATACAATATAAATTTACCAAATCTAAATTATCATAAAATCTAAATTATTCCAATTATTGTATGTAACTCCAAAAAAAAATTATTTTATGGTGCTGCCATCTATGTAACTGATTTGAAAGCTAATGAAAAATAAAAAAGTAAATTGAAAAACGAAAACTGACTAAATTTTTGTTTAAGATAAATTAATACGACCATTCGTCCCTCAAAAAGGATAATTTTTTTTTTTTTTTTTTGGGGGGGGGGGGGATTTTAATTTCGTTTTTCTTTTGAAAAGCAATTATTGAAATTATTTAGACATTTCAATTATTGAAATTATTTAGACATATTATTATGACTAGATGTGTAAAAATTGACAATTATACAAACAATGTGCATCGAAATTAGTCCGAAAATATTTCTATAAACTATATTAAAAAATAGATGTTTGGCGCTACTCCGTGATAACAATAAAAATCTTGCTTTTTATAGTTAAAATTATTGAATGCATAATAGTTTTAATTGGATTTCTAACAACATTCTGCTATTGCAATGCCCTCCTGCCTATTCCTTTGTTATATTTGTGCATTGTGATTTAGGGATGTGCACCAGTTTCTTATAAATATACAAATATATCGTTTCACCTTTTATTTATCTGACTTTCGATTATTTTCTCCATTTATGGAACTTGTAAATTTGTTTTAAAACGATTACAACGTTAAATTTTTCATTTTCCTAATTTTTTAATGGATGAGGGTGAAAACGAACTCATTAATACTGTAATTGGCTTAAGATTTGGATTTTGACACTTTTGCTCAAGAAAACCACACCAATTAAACCAAAAAATCCGACGGATCATACATTTTCTTCATAATATAGGGTATTCAAAGAAATTCAGTACCGGGGGAAAAAAGTGAAATCGAAAAATCTAAAGCTTCATAACATTTGCTAGATAATATATTATAAAAAAATAATAATTTTACATAAATAAGAAAATGGGATATATAAATAAGAAATCGCAATTTTACAATGTGTACAATAACGTTTGGTAGATAATATGATCTTTTCAAAGAAATTGGCTAGCAGGTAAAAAAAAAATCCTCTTACTTCTAATATTTTGGTATTTCTTTAAAAATGTCAATAAAATTAAAGCAAACTGATTTTTGCTCGTTGAAATAAGCAATATATGATTATACTAAAATGGTAAAAGTACTGCAGCATAAAAAAAAATGTACTTACTGTTCTAAAGAGTGTAACGAGTGTGAGAATTTAAGTTTGTAATTATTTTTAATAAACCGAAAATGAATATCATATGAAATACTCATAATTACAATTTTCAAGTAGTTATCCAAATACTGCCAAACGTGTTCCAGTTTTCAATTTTGAATTTTTCCAACCCAGTAAGTCTTTTAAGTGTCTTATTATTTTAATCTTAATAGCACACAAAACATGAATTTTTCCAATCTTTTTATAAACATTAGCTACGAATTTTGCACTACTAGTTATCCCCTGAGTGAATTGTCATTTGCAGGTCTTGTTTAACTTTAATTGCACTTTAGTTTTAGATTATTTTATTTTAGATTGATTGCGATAGTACAGTTGAACACACATAAAAGACCACATTAAGACCTAGTCTAAATTGCTATTATTTTAGCCTTTAATAATTCGCACTTAAATTGCTATTATTTTAGCCTTTAATAGCTCTTCGGTACTACACTAGTACCGAATCCACAGTAGAATGATATTTTCTTAGATTACTTGAATACAATTCTTATAAACGATGCAGTAGCAGTAAGCATAGTAAATCAAATACATCGTTGATTAACTTTGATACACTAAAAGATTAACTTATTTTTAAGAGAGTAAATCCGATAAACTGTTCTTACCATATTCTAGTGTTTGCACTGTTATGTCTTCTGAGTGTGGACCACTTCCAACTTTATTGTAAGCCTGTAATCTGATTACGTACTGAGTAAACCTCCGAAGATTTGTGAGGTGATATTCTTCACGCACGTCACCACTCGATTCCAGTGTTTTGTATGTATATGTGTCTGATGACCGAAGAACTTTATACCCCAAATAATAACCGGTGATTGAACCTCTTCTCAATTCTTTCGGGGGTGCCTACAAGAAAATAAGAATGACTTATATTATCTTTAAGAACGACTTATAATAATCAGTTCGTTAACCATTACACCATAATATAATGCATCGTTTGCTATTTCCCTACAATATGTGAAATATAGAATATTGGCAATTAAATATGCAATATTACTCTCATTTCATTTTTGGGTACTAATTAATAAGCTAATAATCATTATTAATGAGCCTAGTTAGCCCTCAAACAAGGAAGATTGCATCATAGTTCTCGAGAGAGAACCCGAACAAGGGATCATCGTTATTATGGTGTTTCGTAGAGTTGTATTTTATGATGGCCATATCAAATACAGAACCCATAAGCTGATTGTATGCTGTTGTCACTCAGTATATAGCAGATAGGTTTAGATAATTTGTTGAAAATTCCGAATCAAGTTGGGGTATAAAGTACCAGGATTTTGGGTGCTTCTACCATAAAATCTAATATTTCAAACCTGATTAGCAAAGGTCTATATGGTGGAGTTATTCCATTTCTTTTTTTATGATGGAAAATTATAGTATTTACATATTCACATTGCAGTTGTGAAAAATTTATAGTCCACTAATGTATCAAAATAATAATGACTTTATTTAAGTAAAAATAGCCGTTATACAATTAAACGAAATAACTTAGTTAGGGAGCCTATGAGGGAGATTAAGAGATTCATCCTCGAACATGATGAAATATTTTTCCAGTAAATTTCAATAACAGTCCGACTGGGGGGCCAAAATCCCCCAGCTCTTACGCCAAGAATTTAAAATCAAAAGTAATTGAATTGCTCAAAACGGACAGTTAGGAGCATGAGAAGAGATCCGTACTTGGTGATTAATCGGAGGAGAAAATAGCCAAAAAACAAAGTTATCCCCGCGTAATAAGTATTAAATTTGAAATACGGCTATAGCTAAATTGCAAAAAGGACCGTGAGAACAATATAGCCCTATAATAATAGATTTTAATGTTCGATTTAGTCGCAATAGTGAATAAATGAGTTATACATTTGCATTAAATTTTAAAGTTAGCCTTTGTACTGATTGCTAAGAAAAGAATAACATTTTATTATTTGCTTTTTATAAAATGTAAAAGAAATTAAATAATTGGTTTAATTTAATTTAAATTGAATTAAAAATGATTAAAAAATTAAGTTTATGAAATTAAAGAAATTTTGAAAGCAGGGAAATATGTAATGCCTTCTATGGCATCACAGTCATTTAACCGAGAATTAGAATGAAAATGTATGAATTAAACAAAACTTCATAAAGCTAATCTTCTTTCGTTCCTCCAATTTAAACCGTTTTTCTTATAATTTTATGCATGAAAAACGAAAAATTAACAAAAATATGAGTAGTTATCCACAAAAAATTATAAACATTACAACTAAAGAAAAAACTAAGCTATTCAAGCATCGAATGTGCCGAAATTATTCTTTTTCGACATCCAAACTGTTACAGAGTTAAAATATTTGAAAAGAAATTTATGATTATTCGTTCGATTGACTGATTTTCTTTAAAAAAAAATGGAGCAAAAGATTGGTATTTTATAAATGTAAAAAGCAAAATATGTTTTGAATGTAGAATAAATTAAATATTTAGCTTGTACTAAAAATATATTACCATCCATGAGACTTTTATGGATGTCGAACTTAATGGTTCCGCTCGGATGTCAGAAGGTGGAGCAGCTGGTGCTAGAATTAAAAAGAAATTCTTGGTAAAAAAAACTTTTTTATGCATAATTGTGCTTATAGTCACGTTTCAAAGATGAACAATACAGGCCACAAAAACACTTTTCAAAATCAAATTATTATTATTATTATTCAGTACTAAAATATAATAAAGAAAATACACGATAAAAATTATTTCAACAATATTGTTGCAGGATCATTTTTCATTATTTTATACTTACTCTAAAAATATAAAATTCTATTTCAATTTTACGTTCTTTTTTAAAATATTAAAAGGTAAAACAATCGTATTAAATGAAATATATTAGATATTTTTAACTGTTAATAAAATAATTTGTTTTTAGTTAGCAACAATATCGAGTAAACTCTGCAATGTAAAGAAATTTCAGGTATTTTAGCAACAAAAAAAGTGATGGCAACTCTACTTCGCACCCCCACCTTTCAAAATGAAGTAACTACTTCACACCAAGTGAAACAAATTCTTTTACACTATTTCTTTGTAAAGTAGACGCCAGCATGTTTATTATTCAATTACACTCAAATTTATAATTCTAGCAAAATATGATGAGCATAAAAATCTGTAAAGTTACTTTTACAATGCATTATAAAGCAAGAACCAAAAATTCAGGTTCATTTTTTACTAAAATAAAATTAGCTTTGTCAATCAAATATAATCACAGAGCAGAGAGAATGTTAATATGGTTTTGAACTAGACAAAACAAAACCGAAACAGATTGAAGTTAAATATCGTAAAAATAGTTAATACAGTTCACAGATATTTAAAAATTAAAATATAATTTTCCTTATTACATAGCTAAAAATATACATCGTACATATTTCAACGCATAAATTTTGTGGCAGTATAGGGTAAACCAACCAGTGAAGGAACACTACCCAGTGAAGGAACATTTCATATATATTGATTAAATATAAGAAGTTGAAAGTTTTTCTATAAATTGATTGGTAGCAATAGCACTGCCAAACAATAGGAAGTCATCTAGCAATGTTTTGGATTACCTGATCAAATAGACTTCTCTGGAAAAATTTTTGAATTTGTTATTATCTCTGCAACACCTTGTTTTTTTGAAAAAATTATAAGGTGAGTGTTTGTATTTATATGTTTGAAGTGGAATTAATTGCATGCTGTAATAGTTTTATTTTTCTCACTGTGATAAAGGGAATTCAAAATATAGTTATTGGAGTTATGTTTTATTTTTTTAAGCATCATAGCATAATAAAGTACTGAGATAAGGGGATGAAAAACCAGTGAAGGAACAAGTGTTCCTTTACTGGGTTTTTTTCTAAGTTAATGAAAATAAAAGGTAAACTTTAATTTCCTTGTACCTTTAGTGATGCTCCACATCAAAAGTATGTTAAAAATATGAAGAACAACTTCTAACCAGTGAGGGAACAGGCATGTTCCTTTACTGGTCATAGATTTCCCAGTGAATGAACAGTATGTGTTAATATGTTGACACTTTAATTTTCAATTCGTGATTACAAAAAAAAGTTAACATTTTCCAAGTATTTATATGTTATAATTTCAGGAATAGGCTTCTTTTTAAATATTTGTATGGCTAAAAAATTCATAAGTAGTATTAAAAATTAACCAAAATTAAGTGTTACTTTACTGAGAAATTTCGTGTTCCTTCGCTGGTAAGAGCTGTTCCTTCACTTGGTTTTCTTACTACTTGTTATTGGAACCTCCAAAACTTTAAAACAATATTAAATAAGTTCAACATAATTTGCAATTAGCAACAAATATGTTGATAATGTCATTTAACTAAAATTACGGATTTTGAAATTAATATGATTTTTTAAAAGGCAAGCGAAGTTTAAGTGTTCCTACACTGGTTAGTTTACCCTATATTGTATGACAACGTGAAAGAAAACTTTAAAAAAAGAAGAGAAAAATTGACACCACATCTTACTCCGTGTAAAAAGAAAAACTTTGGCAAAAAAAATCTTTTTTAGACTAACCTAAAAAAAATAATTTTTAAAATTTTCCTTTTACTGTTTTCCACCACTTCATTGCAGCAAATCAGAAAATGACCATAATTTCGGTTGAGTATAAAATAAATATAAATTTTCCTTGCACCATTTAGAAACAAGTGCATCTTGTTCACTTTATAAAACAAATTGGTATTACATCACCCTGTTTGGTGTTAGTGTAAATTAATAATATTATAAAGTACAGAACTGTAGTTGTCGAGCAAAAAATTGACAAAATTTAATTTGTTTAAAGGAATTAGCGTAAATATATATTACTAAAAATATGCTTATATTTTAAACGAGATGTTTCTGCAACAAAGCCATGAATTGATTTTAACACACATGAAAATATGTGTTGTCAGTAAACAAATTAGAGAAGAATGAATGAATAAATAAATGAAACTGTAAGAGTGAAAATGCAAATAAAAAATTTGACTACACACTCTACAAAAAATGTCAGTGTACCTCAACATAAAAAATGATGGTAACTACAAATTTTGCGCAAAATGTTTAAATGTAAATGTGTATTAGCACAAAGCTGCAATCTAAATTTAAGTACTTTGACTATAGCAATAGTGGACAAAATTTAAATTAGTTCTGCATTTCTTTTGGTAGAAATTTGGCGTAAAATTCTGCTTGAAAGAAATTTAACTGTAAATTCCACCCACGCAGAAAAGGAAGAAAATTAATAAGCACTCAAAGTAATATAGTGCAAAATTAAGTATAATAATCACTTTTGTTTGCTTAAGACACATTAAAAAAGTGATTAGTTCTTCATAAAATATATTTTTATTGGTGTTTGTTTCACAAAATATATTCAACCGTCCTTAAAATATATTTTTAGAATCCTTATTAAAAAGTCAAAAAAAGTCTGTATTTTTGGGGTTAATAATTATGATTAACTCGTAGAAACATTTCGCATAACGATCTGACAATTCATGGACCAAAAAGGCAGGTGTCGAAACATTAAAACGTTTGTTTGAAAGTTATATACATTTGAAAGAAAAATCATAAATGGAATATATTTAAATACTTTTTAAAATTCTCTATAAAATCTATATTATAGGCAAATAATAATAAAACAAATTATATTAAAACTAGAAATAATTTTTGCTGCTTTATCAGTTTTATAGTTAAAAAGCAAAATCGACTTTTATAAAATGTCGACTTGTTTCAAATTTCAGAAGAATATCGATTTTTTGAATATTCTCTATCAAATGCAAAAAAGATAAACAGAAAAGATCAAACGGATATTCTCGCAAATGTTTTTTAAAAAAAAAAACTGTCTGGATTACGCTTAATACTGTTTTTGAGCACTTGAAAAACGCAGATAAAAGAGAGCAACACGTAAAAGCTGTAAAAATAAAAATATTTTCCAAACTCAAACATCTTTCCAGACTTATTTAAAAAAAGTGCTTTCGCAGCAAATATACATTTCATTCGTCACAAGAAAAGTTGCTAAATGCAAAAATTTTTAAAAAGCGATTACAAAGACGATCTTAGAATTTCCTCTCTAGGCGCATAATAAACCCAAGGAATAGAAATTCTATAAAACTCTAAAGGCGACTTTTTTTTCCACCGTAACAGGGTGTTTCTCGTGCGTTAAGGTAAAAGTCGCGTTCTTCGTTCTAGCGCGATAAAAGTCACTGGAATTTCTGATAGGAATATCGAACTTGGGATAATGAAGTCTCGAGAGAAGACGGCAGAAGGAAAGAGGATAATGGAAAAGAAGAGAATTGATGATCTTGAACTTTATAGAGAGTGAGGCCCAAGCGTATGTTTCTTTCCTTTAAAGGCATTTTTTATTACGTTCACTCGGCGTAAGGAAACGCATGGTAAAAAATGAAGCAGTGTCAAAATATGTCGAGTGTCGTAAATTTGAGTGGCGGTATTCTTAAGATTGGTCCCGCTTTGTCACTTCTCATAAACGTGACATGAAAATATGCAGTGTAAATTACACGGTTTTCCTTTTAGATAACCGAAGAAGAAATATGCGGTGACATTACGACTGGAGAAATAATTAATGGAAGGAAAAGTCATTTGTGAATAGAAATGGTTGTTTAATGTACCTTGGAATTGAGTTTAATTGAAACGACACGGGGTGGATTTTGGATGTATTTAAATTTTTCAGAGTATAAAAAATTCATGAAAATTGTTAGATTTGTAATTATTTTACAGAGTTGTTTCTGAAATTATTTTTAATATTAATGCTCCAATTGTTCTTAGTGCCCCAACTATGTTATTAATGTTAATTCAGTTTTGTTTTTTTTTTTAAAAAAAATAAATTTTGGAATATGATTTTTTATATATAGTGTCACCAATCAGTCACATGTCGTAAATTGTGCGACAGTAAATATTGGAGCCAGTTTGTCAATTTTCATGAAAGTACGATATTAGATATAGAAAATAAATAACATGGTTTTCCTTTTAGGTAACTGAAGAAGAAATATGCGATGGCACTATGACTGGAGAAATAATTAATGGAAGGAAAAGTTATTTATGAATAGAAATGGTTGTTTAATATACATTGGAGTTGAGTTTAATTGGAACGGCATACATGGTGTATTTATGATGTATTTAAAGTTTTCAGAGCATAAAGGAAGCATGAAAATTGTTAGATTGGAAATTATTTTTTAAATTTGTTTTTGAAATTATTTTTAAAATTGATACTCGACTTGTTTTTTGTTCCCCTAAATACAAGATATAACTTTGTTACGCCTAATGTTATTCCATATTTTTAAAATAGAATTTTTGAAAATTACTTTTTATATAATGTGTCACCAATATGTCACGTGTCGTAAATTTTAGTTACTGTAGAGATTGGTACCATTTTGTCACTTTTCAAAAACATGCCGTAAAAATATGGAGAATAAATTACACGGTTTTCCTTTTAGATAATAATAATAGTAATATTCAGTGATATTTTCTCTGGACAAATATTTAAATCTTTATTCATATTGTGCTTACTTGAAACGGTACATAGCATATATCTAATCTAAATGAATTCACTGCTTTGTTAGATTAGAAATTAATTTACAAAATGCTTTTAAAATCAATTCCTAAAATAAATGCTTTAAGACCTCTAAATGCTTATGATAACTCAATTGTTTTTTAATGTTGATAAAACTTTTGAAGAAAAAAAGCACGAAAACGTACTTATTTCATATAATATATCTTACTAGTGGGCTGTGCACCCTGCTCGCTAACGCTCGCCAACCCCCGAAAATTGCTACGCAATCTTATATGGTTTGATTCGCATACCAAGATCTTCGCTCGCTACTAACTTAGGTACATTGCAAATGCACAAAATTCTAAGAATTCAAAACAATCATTCAAATCCATGTAAAAAAATTACATCTTTTTAGTAAATACTGAGTCATTAAAATAAATTTGAATTCAAATAAATGACATGTAATTCGTTAAACCTATTAGAAATGTGCTATAGTATAATTCGTGATATAAATCAAAATTCGTCATATATAAATTCGCGAAAAAAAGCGCTTTCGACAAAATACTAAAATAGAGATCTATCGACAAAGACTACTCACTTCTGCCTAGCTTAATAGTATGAGATTGCCGCAGCTGATGCTCTCTGGTTATTTCAGTTTCCGTTTTTAAAAGCGCTATATGTTGAGTCACCTCAGATAGATTTGGCATGTGACATTTTTAGCGGCAATCATGGGTCGATTCGCCGTGTAACAGAAATAGTAGCGTAAGCAAAACAAAGCAAACGTTGCCACCGGCGGAAAAGAAATACAGCCAAAATTTGGGAGCCACGTAAGAGAATTATATATATTAGATATTTAGATCTATTGGTAAACAGAAGTGATTTTTCTAAGTAATCATTTTTTTAAATAACATTTATGTTGTTATAACGTTATATTGTTGAAACAAATTTGATGAGTTCACATCCTTAATTTAATATTTTCACTTACCAAACGGTAGGATATATTAAATACTTTTTTTTTTGCCTGCATCTCATTGTGCATGAAGCTGATCCTTAAGTTCTAAATCATTTAACAGATCTCTTTAACTGTAATTTATAACAGTATATTAATGTTATTTGCTCAAAAATAATAATTGTTAGACCACCTTTCTAAATAACTTTATCTTAAAATGTAAGGCAGATTTACATTATAATACTAATAAAAAAACAGCAATTCTCTTAGTTTTAAACTCTTGAATTAAAAGCGTAATAATAGCAGTACAGGAAAATAACTTTAAGTTAGGGATTCAAAAATATTTATAGAAAAGCATGACTTTTATTAATTTTATGCTGACTACAACCAAAACAATAAGGAGACGAATGAGGAAAAACTGGATCACACCACGTGATTTTCTGGTCAATAAAAATGCACTGACAACAATGGAAAACTGCGACACCATCATTAGAATTCTATATATAGTAAGATATGTCTATTGTCGTAAGTTTGGGTGGTGGTAACCTTAAAAAATGTGTCATGAAAATACCTGGAGAATAAAAGACACAGTTTTTCTTTTAGATAACCGTAGAAGAAATATGGTATGACATTACGAGTGAAGAAATAATTAATGGAAGGAAAAGTTATTTGTAAATATAAATGGTTGTTTTATGTACCTTGGAATTGAGTTTAATTGAAACGGTACGTGGTGGATTTAAGTGGATTTATGATGGATTTTTCAAAGCATGAAAATTGTTAGATTTGAAATTATGAAATTATGTTACAGAGACGCTTCTGAAATTATTTTTAATATCGATTCTCAGTGTGTTTTTTTAAAGTCCCTAAATATAATAAACTTTGTTACTTTTTATGTTAATCCAATTTTTTTTAAAAAAAAATTGGGAGCATGAAATTTTATATAATGTGTCACCAATATGTCTCGCTCCGTAAATTTGAGTGACAGTAAAGATTACAAGGAGAAAAAAATTATGTTAAAATTACAGAACAGGTAACGAAATTTTTATTTATTATTTAATTTATTTTTTTCCATTGAAAAAAAGCCAACTTTTTGAACAATAAAACCAAAATGTATGGTATTTAAAGGATTCATATTGTAATTTTTTCGTTCATAAAGAAGCAATTTACCGGCAATTCTGGTTTTCAAAATTATAATTCTTATCATATTTAGTAAAAATTAAAAAACTGAAGAGTAAATTTAATCACACAAATGGTTTTTATGCCAAGCTCAAAGGGGGTGACTTCCAACCCTCAGGCTGCCGGTCAAATGATACCAAACAGCCCAAGGAACGTTAAATTATTTCCATTTTATTTATTGTGGTGTATTTCTTTCGGATCGTACGACTTTCCATGGACAAGAGGTTAGCTTCGAGCTTATAGATGCCTCCTAAAGCAGCACCAACGCCAAGTATGTTTTCGTATTTTATTTTGTGGGCATTTTAAAATACAATTAAAGTAAAATTACAGATTTAAAAAAATCTAAAATCTAAACAATCAATGTCCCCCTCCCACAACAGGCAGAGGTAAAAGTATCAAATGTTGACCAGTACGTGGCGATAAAAAGGTAGAGGAACACTGCTATAAAATATCATGATAAAATTACCAAATTTTCCCACATTTACAAATTTTATCAGCTAATATTATAAAATCATATTTTATTATTATTTTTACAGAAATCATTACCATACCGCTTCCGTAAAAATTGCCGAGCATATTTAGAAACATGGTAAATTTTACCATATGGGTAGTTTCTACCGTATTTTTTTTCAGTGTGGTGCCATTAGGTCAATTTTCATGAACTTGTCATGAAATATGGAGAATAAACTACACAGTTTTCCCTTTCGAAAACGGAAAAAAGTAATATGCAATGACACCAGAGAAATAATTAAATAAATTAAGGGAGTAAAAGTTTTTTGGGAAGAGAAATAGATGCCTAATGCGTCTAATATTTTTTTTTATATCTTGAATTCATTCCTAAAGGCATGTAGTACATATATAATGTATTTAAATGTCTTCATTGCATAATAAGTATTAGACTTGAAGTTCGTATAAAAACGCTTTAAAAATTAATTCATAACATCAACACCTGACTGCGTTTTACGACCTTTAAATGCATGTGATGCCTTAGTTACTTTTTTAATGTTGATAAAACTTATACAAAGTATTACGTGAAAATATGCCTTTTTATATAATGTGCCCCAAATATGTCCAGTGTCGTAAGATTGAGAGGTGGTAATCTTAAGAAATGTGTGTGTTACATGAAAATACATAGAGAGTAAAATACACGGTTTTCCTTTTAGATATTTGATGACATTACGACTAGGAAAATAATTGATGGTATGGAAAGTCATGTGTGAAATGAAATAGTTGCTTAATGTACTTTGAAAAATGTCTATGCATTGAGTTTACTGAATGTATATATAATATATTTAACAGTTTTCATTACATTAAAGATGCTTAAAAAAAGTTGAACTTGAAATTAGTTAACAAAATAAAAATGTTTTTAGAAATGAGGCCTAATATCAATATCCAACTGTATTTTCGTTGCCCTTAATACACTAGATTATTTACCTTTTAGTATGAACATTTTTCAAAAATATCCCTTAGTTTTTTTTTCCTTCTGGCAATTTGTCAGAAATTATGGCAAGTGTCGTAAGTTTGAGTGGTCCTGTTTTATATTGATTGGTTCCGTTCATTGATTATGATTGGTCCCATTTTATCATGTTTCATGATTTTTCATGAACGTGAGAAGAAATATGGAGCTTAACTTTTGCAATTTTCCATTTAAACAAATCAAGAAGAACCGTGGTGGCTTAGAGGAGAGAAAACTCAACTCCCAATTAAGTGACCCAGGTACGAGTCCCAGTGATAACTGGTCGTTAAGAATTCTGCCCCAAGCTCGCATCGACCACAGTGCTCACGTAAAGTAGATGAATGTATGATGATGTATGTATGATGAATGTATGTATGATGAATGTATGTATGATGAATGGATGAATGATGTAGTAGATGAATCATGGGATAAAGTCCCCTTGCCACCAGGCTAATCGCAGGATGCTTTCGTGTTGCTTTTTTTTCCACCACGTAACGCAAAAGTGCATTAGTTGCTCAAAAAGTCCTCCACGAAGGCAAGCTTCTCCCAATCTAGGAGTTCCCTTTTTTTCTGGATTCGGTTTAAAATTGCAGAGTTGAAAATCAGTTGTCAAAAACTTAAAATTGGGTCGGCAGTTCAACGACGGCTATAAAAAACTTAATGAGAAAGAATACTATACATAATACTATAATGAGAAAGAATACTACGCCGTTACGATTGAGGAAAAAATAAATAGAGGAGCCATTTATGGATATAAAAATATCTGTTCAACCCCTTAACGATCGGTTAATTTTCAAGAAAACTTTAAGAAAAGTGCCTGTTTTTTTCCTTAGCTTTTGTATTTGAATTACGCATTTGATTAGTACTGACATCTAGTTTAAAACAAACTAACTATCTACAATTACCTTAAAAGTATTCTGGTACTGCCATCTGGTGTGAAAAATGAGAAATAAAACGTTTCCCGGTCAAAAGAAATGAATTAGTTCTATTCTTATTGGCATGTTACTACTGAACACTCCAGCCCGTCAATATCACGGGAGCGAGAAAAAGAGGGCGAAACCTCACCCTGTCGTTTTCAGGGGAGCGAGAAGGAAGGGGATAATGCACAGTGGATATGAGTTTTGGATTGGGTTTGATTAAAACTACATATTATGAATTTATGATAAACTCATAAACAATCATAACATGAAGAAGAAAAACGTGTAAAAAGAGTTGGGCTTTATATTATTTTTCTAATTTGTTCTTATATTGAATGGTATCGGTACCCAGAAACATTTTCAGCTATTGTTTCGTTACTAATTTTAGTTTTCTGAATATATTCTATGTACTACATAATTGTTAATAAAAATTATTATTTTATAAAAATTAATAGTTTGATATCAAATTGTAAAAACAAATATAGCTTTTTAAAATTAATTTTAATATACATGATACTTCTTGGATGTATGGTTCTTACCTTCTTCTTTAGTGGTAACTGTTATTGGTTCACTGGATTTACTCTGGCCTAATAAATTTTCAGCGATTATCCTCATATTGTACGTGGTAACAGGTAGAAGATCACCGAGAACTGTACTTGTTTCTGTAACCGGAACTGTCATACTTTTCGTTTGCTCAAGCCACTGCTCTAAAGGAAATAAATTCATAATAAGTGCCAAAAATTTTATGACATTAAATGTATTAATGAATTAACAATGGAAATGATGATTACTTCATTATATATTTTAAAATATTCGCAATAATAAATGTATTAGGATAAGTTTGCTGTCGTGAATAGTAATAAATCATGGTGAATATCAATTGTTTCTAGCTTTTAAATTTCCGGTATTGTGTCCATAAATACAAACTAAAATGAATAAAATTAAAAGCTAATATGAAATGCTAAAATGAATAAAGTCATATTGAAATAATAATCGACGAAATAATCTCGATGTAATATTTGTGTGTGATAGAATACTTTATATCTCTAGAGATAAAAGAAGTTCATGTTTTGAATATGAGTTATTGCTTTGAACATTGCATTCCGTAAAGAAATTAATTATAATTATAATTATTTACAAATAATAATTAAAAAATTATTATTTGTAAAAAAAAGTGTCTTTAAAAATTGGAAACTTACTAACTTTTCCTAATTAATTTTTTTTCTTTAGTTTTCTTTAAAGAGTGTAATTTTTTTTAATAGCTTTTATGTAGTAAATCTTTTATATAGTAAATATTTGATTGAAGGATAAATAATGATTAAATTTTGAAATACTTGATTTTTTGTTCTAAAATTAATATTTCCAAAAGTAAATTTCATCTTATGTATTATTCATTAAATCAATTTTGAAATGAAATAATTTGGAATTTTTAATATTTAAATAGAACTCTGATGCATAATGTAACAGATAATTTCACTGTTAAAAATTTCTCGCAGACAATCGTATATAACAATTTATTTAATTTTTATTTTACCATATTCAGACAAAATGGCCAAATAACTGTAAATAAAATGGCATTCAAACTGTAAACTAAGAGGAAAAACCGTTTATTAACAGCTTTCACTTAATATGGTTAAACATTCAGAATTTTATTGCACCCTCTAGGCCCATCTAATGAAGTCACTTAGTTACTTGCAGCTTGGTACATACTATAACCAAGGGGACAGATACATGTTTTCTTTCATATTTTTGGCCTCTTATCTCCTCAACATCTTGCATATATACGTATAGAGGACATATTATAACAAACTATATCTCTCAATCTCATTATCGACAGAACGGGAGTTTGAGTCCGAGCATTAACACCGCAATCATTTCCTTCAACACCTCCAGTGTGCTACACTCTCTGGTTTGTGACCCTGGACTATTAGAATACCATACTGTTAATACCACATATATGGTAGTATCATAAAGCTTCTTAACACAAAAAGTCTAGCATTTCCATACCTTAAGACAGGTTAAACAGCCAGATAGTTTAATTAAACAACATTTCACGTTTTATTTGATAAAACACAACTAAACCACAACCTATCTCCTGCACCTATTACCTAACGAAAAGCCTAGCCTCAATGTTCAGTTAAATATCCTTTTACGGTTTTGAAAATATGATAATTGTAAGTGGTTAAAAACCGTATAGATTTGCATTTTTTAAAAGTATTAGTTTCGAACGATTTCAAATCCGTAAAGATAAAAAGTGTTTTTTTACCGTAAACTTTACGTTAATTGAATGGATACACTGTTGCCGGTAATTTTAACGTAATGTATATGTTCTTAATAATCGAATACTTTGATCGAAAGTGTTAATTAAATTTAGATAGCTGTGAAACCATGATGGATAAAATAATTTTCTTTGCATTTGTAGAACAACCTAATTAGTAAACATTAAATTTACTTAATAATTAAATAAAAACTAATTACAATTTATAAATAATGATGCAATAAATGGTACTAATAATAGAAATTTCAACTTTATTTTTTTAAAGCAGTGAAATAGATTAAGCCACCTTCAAATTCTAAATTGAATTAAAATTAATTCTTTTAATTGTTGAACAAAGGAGAATATTATCAAATAAAATTATGATATAACTAATGTAATATTTTTACAATTGTAACATATAACACAAAATCCATTGCCGATTGTATTGTTATGTCTGGAAAATATTTATGCATTTTTCTATCATTGTTTTCAAGATTAATGACAAAGGAAATTTTTACTTATGCCTTTATTCTTATATTAAATGGCTTTATCTATTAATAAAAAATATGTCTCTAATAATTACAACAAATAAGATAGAAGATAGTTTGCGTAATTAAATAAGCATTAGACCTTATTTGAATATTAATCCTTTCAAAATAATACAGTATTGACATGTAAAATCCTCTTTCTTAAAGGAATTTATTGTATAGAATAATTATGGAAATTTAAAACAAAGTATTTGGAATCACGGAGAAAATAAGCTTTATAGTAATAATTGTTATAGTATTAATCATAATTAATGAAAGCAATTTTGTTTTGTATATTAATATCTATATTTCGTATTGCTAACAAATGTTTTCCTAAATGCATGAGGAACAACAATACTGCATTGTTAATAAGAACACAAGATCAATATCAAAAAAACATTTAATAATTAAGTAAAAATATGCTGATTATTAAATTTGTTGAAGTAGTGATTACTTTAAATATTAATTTGGAAGTGAAATTAAATCGGAAAACAGAGGCTATCTCGATTGTATTTTTTAAAGATTTTTTAAAATTTTTAATGATACTAAAATAAAGCGTATATAAAAGCTTCCCAGTGTATTTTCTATACTTGTTGTCGTTGCCGTCGGCCATTAAGGCAGAGGGGGGCGGGGGTGAATTTTCTTGTTTTCCAGTGGCGCCATCTATGGTCAAGAATTCGAATTCCGTCACACCCATACGACACACAAGTTTATAGGGTGAACTCATGAGGAACTACAATACTGCATTGTTAATTAGAACAGAGTATAGTTATCAATATAACGATCAATATAAAAAAATAATAATTACAATTAAGCAAAAATATGCTGATTATTAAATTTGTGGAGATAGTAATTTTTTTAAATAACAATTTGGATATGAAATTAAATCAGAAAACAGAGGCTCTCTCGATTATATTTTTTTAATATTGCTAAAACTTTTTAATGATACTAAAATATAGCGTATATAAAGTAATTTTTAGATTAAATTAATTTTGTGTTTTTAAGGTCATTTCATGACAAGTGAATCATTTTCAAGATACATCTCCTCTCTACCGCAATTTCAAAAAATTAGTTCAACATTGAGATGTTGTTGAGATTTCTGATTGCCTAAATTGCTTTTCAAAGAACATTTTGAAAACTTTCACGATTTTCAAAGCGGAGCTTGTCTCTTAAGACATCAATAGCTTCTGTTTGAGTCATTCCTTGATAAAAAGATTAACTAGTTTTCTAAGACAATTTGAAATAAGATTAAGTAATACTACAATACACTAAGAAGTATGCAATGTATTGTGATTTAATGATACATGATACAATTCCACAGGCATTTTTAGAGTTTCCTTAAAGTACTATTTGATTACTTATGCTTTGAAAATTTTTAACTGTTTAAATATTAAAATAAACTTTCTGATTTATTTATTCCGAGTGCTTGACAATCAAATGAAAAAAAGTTTGAAAACAGTTAAGAGGTACTGATTTAAATTTTTTTTTGTTAAGTTTCCCTAAAAGATCACCTTTTCTCATTATTAGTAAAACACAGATTTTAAAGTACAATAGTATCGAAGGGTTACAATGCAATATAATGCAAGTAATGCAAGTTATAATGCAAGTAACACAATACTATGTAATACAATTCAGTGTGGTGTAGAACAATAATATAAAACAGTGGTAGTCAGCAATAGGAATTAATACGATAATCAATGTGTATAAAATAAAAGTAGACTTTCCCTATTTACATTGTTAATCATCCTTTTCTAATTAATATAATCAACAGAGTAAAAGTACTAATTTTATGCACTGAAAAATGTTCAGTTAAGTTTAAAATTTTAAATTGAAAACTGTCTAAAAATAGCTGCTAAAAATAAAGTAATTTCGTATAAAATAGAATTGTAAAATAGTTTTTACGTTTCAAAGAACACATTGGAATTTAGTTACATTAAATTGAATTATTAAAGATTACAACAAAAGTAGGGATTTATATAATTGTTCCATCCAACTTCCTAACCAGCAAAAAAACTGTACTTACCATCCTGTCTCTTTAATTGCACAATATATCGTGTTAAAGGTAAATTTCCACTGTATGGTTGCACCCAAGTTAAAGTTACAGTTCTGCTTGTTAACTCTTTTATTTCCAAGTTTCTGGGACTGTCAGGGCGTTCTAAAGTGTATGAAATAAAATGGATTAATTACTTATTTTTATGTAGAAATATAATTAGTAATTAAAAATAAATGAACCTGATTTTCGTTTATTACAAAACAGTGTTACATAAAAAATTATTATTTTACCAAATTTTTTGTGTGCATTATTTTATAACTATATTTTTCGAATTTTTATATAATGCATACTAATATTTATATAATACATATTAAGCCTAAACACTACTTTAACCCTCTAAGTGCTAAGACCCTGGGTAAAATAGTATAAAAATTTAATTGCTACACATAACTCTCTCATTGAATTACATAGGAGAAACCTGTTTTTTTGATGCAAGGAAGCTTGCAGGAAAGTTCGGAAAAAGCCAGGACTGACGCTCAGAGGGTTAAACACAATATAAAATTTTATAGAAATCATAAGTTTATTTAAAAACGTAAGTTCCAGTAATGCAGTATGAGTACAGTTATATACAAATAGAAATTTTGGGGAGTTGTTAAACTATGTTTTAACTAATTAAACTGTTAGTTAATAACATGTTAACAAATTACACTATGTTTTTCAAATTTGCCATTACCTTCATGTGGTATAAAAGTCAACAAAGATATCGTACGAATGAAACGGTTAATCCATTAATATGGTTCAATTTAAGCAGGAAACACTTCTATTGAACACTTTATTAAGATTGCATCAAATTTATTCGATATTGAGGTTTAAAATACCGTTATTATGGTTAAAAGTTGATTTCATATATTTGAAATTGTGAACTTGGAAACATATATTATTAATACACATTTTAAAAATTACTCTAGAAGCTATCAGCTTGTTCAAATATGTCTCAGTAATGAAACAAAATCATAAATATTAAGAAATATTAATATACCTTAATTTTTTTTAAGAAGTGAAGGGATATTAAAAATTGTGATGACATAGAAATTTGTAATTTTATAAATATGAACTTAAAATTGAAAATTGAACGATTATCAGTATGACATTATAATAAGTATTTATGCATATTTATTAAATATATTGCAAATCAATACATTTATTTCATATATAAAGTTGCATTCAGGAAATAAAATTGCCTTTTACTTAAAGTAAATTAATCCATTCAAATAACAATGCTTGCAGCGAATTTTAGTTTTGTTATGTGGCTTAAAAAAATGTCTAATTAAATTCTTCGATTTCATTTATACCATTGTAATAAATTGAATATTTATTTAGGGGAATAGTTCAAAAATAAATTCAATTACAATTGGCTTTCTTTAAGGCTGAAATATTGCTATTTCTGAAGTAAGAAAGTAAGCCATTGATGTTCTGTTATATATCTTCTTTTTATTAATTATTTATTAAAATTTTATTACAAGATAATTAGCAAGAATTTTAAGAAATATAATTAATAAAATCTTCAAGGATATTTTTTTTATAAATTCATAGTATTTCATTTAAAATTTCAATTTACTTCTCCCAAAACTAAAATGTTGCCATTTCTATAATAAGAAAATAACTTTACAAAATTGTCTACTAGAGAAATTCTCCTCAGAAGAACAAAACACAAAGGTAAGCATTCCGTCTTCAAGCGTAATTGCCTTTCTTGAACAAATCTATTAATTTGGTAAAAATTCTCCTTTCTGTACAGAAGTTTCCTGAACTTTTCTAGATGTTGAAGGAAGCAAATGATATTTATTCTTCTGCCTCAAATTACTGTTCTCCCAGTAATCTGAGCTTAAATTAATGTTCTTCTTGTTGTATTATACACAAAGAAACTAATGATGCCTTAGGAAGAATACTATATTTTAGTTCTTAAAAACAAAGCTTTTCAACTTGAAATGTTAAGAAATGTTGGAATTTATTAAATGATAATTATCCTCTCTGTATTATCAGCCTAAATTTTGTATTTTATTAAGTAACAGTTTTAGTTTTTTTCAAAAATTATTTTCTAATTTTATCCAAGGTGTGGATTTTTCAGTGACTTAAGCTCGTATATCATTTAAAAATGTCCTTTTTGCTGCATTACAAACAAAGAAACTAATGAAGCTTTTTGAAAAGAATAATATTTTAATCTTTTTACTCAATTCTAGAACTTAAAAAGAAATGTTAGAGTTTATCAAATGGTAATTATCGTTTCTGAATAATCAGCCTAAATTTTATAGCTTATTTAATAAGCATTTTATCTTTTTTTTAAAATTATTTTCTTAAAATAAATATAAATTTAATATAATTTAAGTGAGTGATGCACTTATTGCATTTTGTATACAATTAAAAAATGTCCTTTTAAAAAAAATTGTAAACAAAGAAAGTAATGAGGTTTTAAATAAGAAGACAGTAATTTAAATTTCTTAATTTGCTTTTAATTTTTAAAGAAATGTTTCAACTTTATTTAATAATAATTATCGTTTCTAATTCCCAAAAATCAGCGTCTAAATAAAAAAAAAAGCAATTTTAACTTATATGTATTATTTTTGAAGTAATATGAGTTGCTCACTAAATTTATTATCGTTCCATAGAATCCCATACTTGCATTTTATCATTAATTCTGTATTTAATTCATTAATTTTCTTAATATACTATACATAAAAAAATGAAGCTTGAGAATAGTACTGTACAAACTCTTTAAAAATAGTACTCTTTAAAAACTTAGCTTTTCAACTTGAAACGGAAAGAGACGTTAGAATTTGTTATAAACATTTAATTTGTTTACATTAAATTTAAAAATTGTAATTGAAAATTTGAAAAATAGTTTCATACTTTTACATGCACTAAATTTAAAATCAATCAAGGAAAATTGAATCTTTATTTTGACCGTTAATTTCAATATAAATTTTAATCCTTCATTGAATTAGTTTGAAGTTAAAATGATAGTTTATACTTCAAATAAATTTAGTAACTATTTATTTTTATGTCAAGTATAAATAGAAGCAAAATCTGGTAAATTTACTATATATAGTGATGACATTTCTTGTTAAGAAGAATATTTAAAAAATCGAAATATTATTCATATTTATGCCGTACATTTGATAATTTTCCCTTTCAAATGGTCACAATTTATTGAAAATTCTGGTTTTCAAAATTATAGATCTTATTGCAGCACATTTCGCAAAAAAAAATAAATAAATAAAAAATACAAAAAAAAAATTAAAGAAAAAAAAAGTAAATTTAAACGAATAAATTGTTTATATATTTTTTTATATTTTTTTATATTTTTATATTTTTATTTCTCTGAGGTATTATGATTAAATTACCAAACTTTACTGAACGTATCAAATTGCAAAAACGTTAAAACTATAAAGGTACACCTTGTTGCCTTTCGCAAATTAACTTATAAAGCATTTATCAGTGAAAAAAAGTAATAATCAGGTTGAGTATTAATTTGATAATTAAGTCGAATTGCAGTTTTATTTACACGATACTCAAAACCGTAAAATAATTGTGGAAGAAAAAGAGCAAGTGAAATAACTTAAGTTATCGCACTGTAAACAAAAGTGTAGGGTAAAAACCAGACATTGAACAGATAATATAATAGAGTTTGAATTGACGGTTTTAAACCATTTATGATTAGGGTGAAAAACAGTAAGATACCGTTTTGTCAATAAAACAGAATTGAAACGTCAAATATACGAAGAAAGACTGTGGAAATGGGCATTTTTTACAGTGTGCTCTAACATTTAGCATCGTCTTGCATACGCTTAAATTATAAACTTAAATATTTTTCATAAATATAAACAGATAAATATAGACAGACTCGCTCGCTGGCGGGTTACTATGGTTACAAGGGTCATATCAAATAGGGGCGTATCGCTTTAGTACAGATTTGGAAAGTCCCTGGTTTTTCTATCTTACCCCATTGAATATGGTTTAAATCTTTTTTTCCAGAGCATCAGACAACCTGAAACTTATAGTCGGAAGGAGTTATCGTGATTGGTAGATAATATTTGCAGTAAGTGGTTACCTTGTACAACGACTTGAAAATTTGTCTCATCTCTTCCAAATTCATTTGAAGCTGTGCAGCTGAATAGAGCGGAATCTCTTCTGTCAGCTGATATGATAGTCACTTCAGAAACCATACCATCTTCTTGTTCTTTTTGAACTTCACTATATCTGAAACAAGAAAGAAAAGATTAAAAATATGAACCATAATTTGGAAGATACGGTCAGAAATATTAGGAACACACTGCAAAAAATCTCGGTTCAAATTACAGTAAAAAATACCGGTACTCATTTTTTTCTGTAAAATCCATTTTTGCTGGAACATGTTACAGATCAAAAAATATTATTTATCGTATTATTTATCTTAATAATTACCGCAAAGATAAAGACTCCAACTAAACAAGTATAACTGCAAAAAATACGGTATAATATTTCACGGAAAAATAGATTTTACTGAAAAAAATGAGTGCCGGTACTTTTCTGAAGTATTCTGTAAAATCCAATTTTGCCGGAACATGATACAGAAAAAAAAATTTTTTTACTGTATTTTTTATCGTAATAATTACCGTAAAATCACTAAAGACTCTAACTAAACAACTATTACTGTAAAAATTATGGTATAATATTTCACGGTAAAATCGATTTTACGGATGATGCATCCAATGAGTTGGTACTTTACACCGTAATTTGATTCAGAATTTCTTTACAGTGTTGTATCATTTTTACGAGAAATTGACATAAACTTTAATAAATTAAAAAAAGGTAAAACTTTGGCGTTTTTGTCTGCAAATTTTTTTTTACATTTAGAATTTTTACTGTAGATGCATATTTAATGGTCATTATGGGTGATTCCTTTTTGAACATCACTGTACCTGAATTAAGTAAAAATAGATTTAAAACAAAAGCCACATTTTGAAAAACCGTGGTCAAAATTATTAGAAATAGCGTATATTCTTTCATTTGAAGCTTGCCTTAGTATACTTACTTGTAATACTTACAAGTAAGACTTACTTGACTTACTTGTAAGACTTACTTGTAATACTTGTATACTTGTAATACTTACTGTAAAATTACTGAATAATGCAAGTAAGTAAATATTATTGTAAAAATTATAGTTTAAATTTTATGATTTAAATTTAATGGCATCTGTAAAAATAGGTATTACAGATGCTTCCCTGTGTCCTTACCTTTTATTGGGTATTTATTTGATAGTTAGTATGCATATTTTTACTAGCGTTCACCATTTTTTGTATTGTAAATTGTTGCAGATGTTTGTTACTAACCGAGTATGAATGAACTTTTTCATAAAAGAAAATGTAATATCAGAGAATATTGCTGTACTTCAGGAATTAATATTCTTCAACAATGTTTAGAGTATCAAAAAAAATCATTAGAATGAAAGAAAATAGTTTTTTTTAAATAAAAACATTGCAACTATTAAAGCATTAAAATTATAAGACATCATTAAAAACATTGGTAAAAATAATCTTATTTTATTATTTAAGAGTGACCTAACATAAAAAAATATTGTACCTGACAACTTTAAAAGCAATTGATAAAGGATTCTAAAAAATGACATCTTTAAATATTTTATTACATCTTTAAATATCCGCATATTTTTGACACAAAAATACAATCAAAACCTTTAAATTATTCAAAGATGAAATATAATTTTATCATGCATAAATAAATAAATTTAAGTTAAAGTTCTGTAATTATTTTAATTTTCATTTATGTTCCTGTGATTGTTTTAAAGAAAGTTTACCTCGATGTGAAATAAATTCAGAACTAATGAAAAATATTTTATCGTTTTAATCTCATGATGTTTTTATTAATATGAATTTCTTTCCAGAAAAGCTGATTTCGTTTGAAAATGCAATTACTCTTTTTTATTATTTAAACCATGACTTATTTTTTTAAATTCCTTTTAACTTAAATAATGTTATAAATTTAATTTCTAATCTTTGATGCATGATTTTTGGATACACGACAGCAGTGGCCCGTTGATTTAATCATTAATTATAGATGCCAAATACCTAAAATTAATATCTTAAAATTCATTTTTTAATTACTGCTATTGGGGAGTAAATATTTCAAAAAATAAAGTTAGTTATTTTACTCAGTTTAATAATTCAATCTCATTTGTAATTTCATTCTTAAAATTAATTATAAAATAAATATAATCAAAAATATATTTACTTTATATTTTATTTTCATTAAATAACTATATACAAAATTAAACATAATCTAGGTTATTTCTCTATAGAAGGAGAGATGATTATTATAAGAGATTCCGACATTTTTTTTCAACATTGCAGCAGATGCAGTTTGTTTATCTATTTAGACAAAGTCACGCTTTTCATTACAACAAAATGTATACAAATTTTCAAATTTCATTTTATTCAGGGATCAAATAATTTTCAAGAATTAAGTATTCGGTTGTTTTACAATGTCTGATTACATTTTGTTTCCAATTAGCTGGTCCTTTAAAGTACAATTAGTGTACAATCTTTGTTCCTGTGTAAAAATCAGAGGGATATTGCAGTGGAGTGATGCAACAAACTTGGTGACTATCTCATCATCAACTTTAGGAGGAATTGCCACTTAAAATCGGGGAGAGATGACCGCTTTTCACCAATACAAATTAACATATAAGGGATCATAGTTGGCTTAAAAATTTAAAAATAGGTATAAAAAGAAAGAGAATACTTTTAATCTTCTCCATAACACTCAATATGTCTAAATGAATCAATATAGTTACGAAATCCTTGGTCTGTTAATGATTTTCAAATGGTTTAATTTTGTTTCGAAATTTTAAGATGAAATCTAATAAAAAGAAATTCCAAGTTTTGTCATTACAATATCGAGACGACTTTTTTTAATTTTTGCTGACCGTAACTAACCCTGCATATTATATTCGAATTCTACTGACCTAACATATTATCAGATAGAAACCTACTCGATCGGACCCTCTATATTATCCAATTCAACATATTCACAATTTGATGAATATTAAAGTGTTAGCTGTGGGGAAGAATACAACACCACAACTAAAATCGATAACTGGATTACACGTGTAAAGTACATGTAATGGCTCTATGAAACATGCACAAACTTTTTTTTTTGTACAAACAAATTTATGGAGTTGAAAGTGACATTTAAATCTGTACAATAGTTTTTTTTTTTGTTTATTCGATTCTTTTTGCTTATCTTCAAAGATAAAATTAATCTCTTACACCAAATTGCAAGTTTTTAATGATTAACTATATTATTATGCTATTTTACTGTGTTTATATGTCATTTTTCATAGTTTAACATCGTTTTTCCTTTCTTTAGAGTATTAGGTAGTCATCTCACCTCGATATTAAGGAGATAGAGCCACTTATTAGTAAAATTTCAAAGAGAAAAAAAAAATTCATAATTTGTTCTCAATATTTTATTATTTTTGGTCAAAACATGTTGTATATTCGATTCTTTTTGCTTATCTTGAAAGATAAAATTCATCTCTTACATTAAATTGCACGTTTTTAATGATTAACTATGTTATTATGCTATTTTACTGTGTTTATATGTTATTTTTCATAGTTTAACTTCGTTTTTCCTTCCTTTAGAGCATTAGATAGCCATCTCACCTCTACATTAAGGAGATAGAGTCACTTATTAGAAAAATTTCAAACATTTTTTTTTTTCATAATTTGTTCTCAATATTTCATTATTTTTTGGTCAAAACATGTCGCATATTCGATTCTTTATGCTTATCTTCAAAGATAAAATTCATCTCTTATGTCAAATTGCAAAATTTTAGCGATTAACTATGTTATTATGTATTTTACTGTGTTTATATGTCATTTTTCATACTTTAACTTCGTTTTTTCCTTCCTTTAGAGTGTTAGATAGCCGTCTAACCTCGACATTAAGGAGATAGAGCCGATTATTAGTAAAATTTCAAAAATAATTTTTTTTCATAATTTGTTCTCAATATTTTATCATTTTTGGTCAAAACATGTTGAGTACATGCGTGAAAATTTAAAATATGCAGAGGCATTTGTGGTACCTTTATCTTTAATATTTTTATTTCAATTAAAAAAACTATGACCTTCTATATTAGACTTACTCTAATATAAATTTAAAAAATTTAATTAAACAAAATATAATTAAAAAAGAAATTTAGATATAAAATATGGAAATGAAATTTTTTTAAAAATTAAACTACGATAGAATGAAATCATTTTATGGAATGATGTAGCAGGTAACAGATAAATTAAGGAATGTGCTTAATAAACTAATTTAGATATATTTATAAGTAATGAATAATAATGAACAGCAATTTACAATAAGAGTTTCATTAATCAATGGTACCTTGATTCAGCTCTCATATTAAAAATTTGTCTATCCTTCGTCCAAATGAGATTGATTGGCTTTTCTCCAAATGCACTACAAATAAGATGCACAGTTTCCCCTTTTCGAACAGTTGATGACTGGAATTTTACACGGAAATGAGCTGGAACTAAAATAATATTATTTATTAGTTAAAGAACATACGTGAAAATTATTTAACTCGAATTTAACTGCTTTATCGCCCACAGGAAGAGTTTTCGTAATTATATATATTTGTGTTTATTAATTTTATACTTATCTTTCAATGAATATACGTTTGTATCTTTTATTAGATAATTAATAATTTTTCCTTCACACTGCCTATATCTTCTTCTATCTGCAATCTGTTTAAAGTTAAAATATGTTTAGCGTTGAAATATTTGGATGATTTGAACTGTAATATTGTGCTTCATTTGGAAGACTTGAACCTTAATGTTGGATTATATTTCTAGGAACCATATGCCATGTTCCATTGGACCATTGAGCTATGTTTCACTAAAGTTAAACCATAGAGTCGTTTAATCAATGTTGAGAGACTCTATAACATGGTTCAAATTGGCATCGTTGTAAGTTAGCAGAAAACATAAATGTTTTCATAGCAAAATAAACTCCACAATTTCTCAGAGTACCGAATGAACTGATCTATGATCAATGCTGTCGTTTTAAAATAAATCCAGCTTAAAAAAACAATGGACAATTTTAATTTAATAGTTGTCTAATTTTGCTCTTTAAGTTCAATTTTAAAGGGAAAAAAAACAATTTTATGAGACACATAAAGCTAAAAAATTCCTCTTTCAGTTAGCCCAGAAGTGTGTTATCAAAACTTAGGATCAGTCTTATTGTGAAATTAAAGTACGGTAGTGATTAAACACCACTTGCAATAGCTAGGAGTGTAATTTAGAGTATCAACATGGTGCATTAAATGCGATAATCTTAACTAATCGATAAAATATCAAATTAAGTAGATTAAAAAAGGAACTGAAACCTCCAAATTCTTACCCTATGGATTTAGAAGGTACCATAATTATCGCTAGTTAATACCGTGAATTCCTTACTTGAAATGTACTACATGAAATTAAGGTTTAAATATAGTATGTGTCGTCGTAAATAATATTATCTAAAGGGATATAGAATTTATAATAATTATTATTTAACTAAAAAAAGAGCTAAAATACAATGTATTTACGCGATAAAAATTAAACTTAGAAAAAAATAGTTTGAAGTTGGAAAAGTAAATACTTAGAATTTAAAAAAAAAAAGAAACACAAATCTCAGTTTTAAAGGGTGAAATGTAATACACTGTAGTATTACATGAGGGTACCCTTCCCCGCAATATAGAGCTAGACGGGAGAAAGAACTCCACTTACACTTATTAAATGTTCAATAATAAAGAATTTAACGATTTTTACTTCAAAATACTTGAAAAGAAAGACTTATATTCAGAAAACTACTCACTGAAACATTTACAGTAGGTAATCAAAACATGTCTACTGTAAGGAACAAATTGCAAAGAAGACTCGAAACAAATTTGGCCATTAAACGAAGAATATTGCAAGTAATCCAGTTTGTGGAAGAGGCTTAAAATACTTCTTCTCTTCCCTACACTGTGTTTCGGGTGTTCTAAAACGGGCGAAAAGTCCGTTAAACGTTTCGGCCATAACTATTCTGAATGGTTCCAACGACCTGAATCTTGGACTTAGTGTTTCGGACTGACTTAAGCAATGCCTGGCAGTAAAAGTCTTTTTCCTTCTTAAATAGGAGAGGGAAAGGCCATTTGGATGTCGCACAGAGATCCCAAACGACCTCGTATAATGCCTTGATGACAGCTAAGAAAGCTCAGAAGGGACCCTGATACTCTGTAGGAAGATGAGCCACATGAAGTTACTTTTTCTCCACTTTTTATAATGGTAATAACAAAACTCTAGAAAAACAATATTTTGATATCATAGTAGTATTCTTTCAGGCAAAGGGCATTTTCAATTCTATTCTTTAATGGGTTTTTTTAATATATATTTTGTATATTTTTATGCATGGTTTTCAGTCCAGAATTCTTTTTTTTTTTATTTCCTAACTTTGTGTCAGTCCTTACGCGTAATAAACAAATAATTAAACATGTATTTTAATCTGAGTATTTAAGCATGTTTATTATTTATGAAATTTGACTAATAATAAATTAAATTAATAACAAATCAACAACTACTTAATTGAATTAATAAGGTGTCAATAATTGATTAATTAAATAAGTAATAAGTCAACAATGTCTTCTTTTAACATTCAGCCTTTCAGTGCTGATTTTAATGATAAATCCTTCCGTTTTTAATAGATCGAATTAACTATTTGAAGGAATTAAATGACTGTTCCAATCAAGTAGCATTGGATTTGGATGTCACCCAGAGATCCAGAAAGACGTCGTATAGCGCTTTTATGACAACATGACCAAGAAAGCTCAGAAGTGATCTTGATGCTCAAAAGGAGGATGAGCCACATTAAGTTACTCTTTCAAGGCCTTTGTTATCATGATAATAGCAAAACTCTAGAAAAACAATATCGTGATTTTGCAGCAGTAATTTTTTTTTAACAGTAGTCATTTTTTTCCTGTCCTTGAAAGTTTTTTTTACAGTTTAGTTCTTTTCTTTCATATTATTTATCATTGAATTTAACATTCCTTTTCAATTTCTGAACTTGAAGCTATATATTATACGTTGTAAGCGAATGATTCATCTTAATCTTTAACTGTATTAATTATTAATAACCCAACAATGCTTAAATTAATAGTAATATTCAGCTATTTACTGGCGACTTAAACGAAGTATCTTTTTTGTCATGTCAAACTAATAATTTGAAGGAATTTAAGAAATGGTCTGATCGAATAGCATTTGATTTGGACATCGCATAGAAGTCCTAAAAGACCTGGTATAATGCCTCGGTGATAGTTGTAAAAGTCCAGAAGGGATCTTGATGCTCAATAGGAAGATGTGGCACATGAAGTTAATTTTCTGTGTCTTTTTTTTTCATAGAAAAATTATAGGAAAACAATATTTCAATATTATACTAGCAATTTCTTTTTAAATGAAGGATAATTTTATTTCTAATCGTTGAAAAATTTTCTTTTTTGAGAATTCCTCTTCATAGAATTAATATTAGGCTTAATGTTATTCTGTATTTTATGATTGTATTATATTCTATTGCATAATAAGCGAATGACAAAATATATAATTTTATCTGAACTTCCTACTGAAGTAATTAATAATAACCCACCAACGAATATTAATATTCAGTCTTATAATAGTGACTCTAATGAAATATCCTTCGCTGTGGATCAGATTAATGATATGAAAGAATTGAAAAACTGATCTGATCAAACAACATGAGATTTGGATACCGCACAGATACCCCAAATGGCCTTGTATAATGCCGTGAGGATAGCAAAGAATGTTGATGCCTAGTATGAAAGTGAATCACACGAATTAACTCTTTCATCTCCTTTTTTTTACCATGTACGAACAGAAAGTAAAATTATTGTACTGTATGGTTATTTCATTTCTGGTAAACAAAGACGAAATTCTGATTAATAAAAGCAAAATACGCAAATTTTAAACCATTCATTTGCTAATTTCTCCTTTCGGAAGGAAACCGTTTACCTAGATTTCGGTTTTCAAAATTACAGTTGTTATAATCATACATTTAGTAAAAGACACAAAAATGGAAATTATTTTAAGCAAATAAATGGTTTTTGTACCATGCTATAATAATCATATACAGCATGTCATCATAATAAAATTACCAAACTATACTTTTACTGTAATCTGGTAATTTTGATTAAATTTTATTATCTGTGTGATATGGGCGCTTCCTTTTTATGACCTGTTTTGAAGTGCATGAAGAAACAGTTCCTAATAGGGAAGCACCTTTGACGGCGTAAGATGACATTTCCGGGAATGGATTTCTATTTAATTTTAATCCTGATGATATTCCTTAACTTCCCTAGAAGTTTGTTGCAATACACATGCAACACTCTGTTATCTAGAACGCGAATTTGAACTTGTACATTTCGAGAAAAAATAGACAAAAACTGCCTTTAGAAAACTGAAGCTTGAAAAGAGAAACCGATTGCAGATATCGAATAAGTGATTGAAAGGAATTTAAGATCTATCAAAATAACTCATGCAACAAACAACAAAATGTGTAATTATTACTCTTCCAAAACAATAAATTTATTCATAAGAAACTTTATTATGAGTAACTTCAACTTTAAATTTGTGAAAAAATATAATATTTTTACAAATAAAATACGAAATCTAAATAAAAGTAACCCAAATAATGAAATTAAAAAAAAGCAGTAACAAAATATTTAAATAAATTATTAATTTTTTTTTCTAGAAATTTATAAAAAATTACTTTAAGCAACATTTTTTAAATAAAAAGTTTTCATTAAATTTAATAAAAATATAACAATTACTGTGCTATATTATAAAGCGTTTTGTGAAAAACCACGCATTGATCATAGTTGCCAAATCATATACAAAACAGAAATGTTTTTAAATTTCAGTTTCTTCTCAGATTAATTATAATGGACAAAGAACCAAAGTAATGCCATAAATTACTGAGTAACAGTACACGAAAGTTGAATTCCGCAAAACAATCACTTAATTACTAATTTAAATTTTATTTTTAAAATTAATGAAGCATAAAACTATGAACTAATATTAGATTTAATAAACTATTACATCGAAAACACATTGGGAATATCGACAAATAAATGTATTATTTCTGATGCATAAATGTTAGTATTTAAGACAAATTTTTAAAAATCGTAATAAGAAAAAACCGCACGGATCTGTAATATAGTAGTAAAATACTCATTTTCAATATTCAAAATATAGAATTTAGGACATTTTTAACCACTATAAAGTGAATGTTATTCAAGCAGTGGTTTAAGTCTGGTAAACGATTTTCGTAATACATTAAAAATAAAAATATTTAGTGCAACGTATCTACAAAAATTAGGCAGAGTTAGGGTTTAATTTTAATTTTCTCTTTTATATGTTATTTATTTCATTTTACATTTTACATTTCAACAATTTTGCTCTAAAACGGCTCGCCTTATCCCAAGTAATTATTCTTATGCTGCTACGTAGCTAAAACTTAAAACCCGAAATTATAAATTATGCTTTTGATTAATAAAAAAGAGTAACAAATGCTGAGTAGCAGCGAAATATTTCTGCATAATAATAATAAATATATTGTTTTTTAAATTTATAAAATTCATATACCTTCCCAAAAAAAATATTTTTTCCTACATTATGTATAAACTATTTTTCACACACTTCACCAAGCAACAGGCAATATACATCAAAATAAGAATTAGTTCGGCACTGATAGATCTCTAAAAGTAACTATTTTCTAGAAATAGTTTCATACCATGAACTGTGAGCTTAACGACAGCACTAAGGCTAGGGCTGATTCCATTAGTCGCCTGGCACATATAAAGTCCAGCATCGGCAAGTTCCACTTCTGTGATCACCAACGACCCATTCTCTAATGTCTGAATATGAGGATTGCTGATAATGGTTCTGTATTCATTTCTACCACTCAGACCTAAGAGTATGATAGATGAGTAGTAAATATATATTTCGGCATCATTTATCTTATTTTAACATGTAGTAAAATGTAATAAAAATATCACCTAGATATTATATATGTAATGGGATAACTCTGAATACCTTTGAATAACATAAGTATTATGTTTAAATGTATATTTGATTAATTGATTACATATCTTTACAAGGACATAAATTATTACAATTAGCTTTTGTAAATATTAAAAACTGACAGTTTAGAGAAGAAACAAAAACATTATAACTAATTTGAGTAAAACGCCATGCTCTAATTTGCATGAAGTAAAATCATTTTTTAATAAAAATCTCGACGTTTACACCATCACAAAGATTTTAAAATTAAAACTTTATCACCAGTATTTTGCCTCAAAGAAAATATGTTTTTTTTTTCAAAAAAACTTGATTTAAAAATTTTTTTAGGTTTAGAAGTAAAATAAAATAAAGTTTACATTTCAGAAACTGGAACAACTTTGTCATTCTAGCAACTTTTGCCAACCGATACAGCTTTGATTCTGCTTAAGTCTTTATCTCTTGGGACAACTTTGCCACTACACACTATAAAAAGTTCCGAAGCAAACTGCGATACTGGCACTTTGGGTACATCTTCCATAAAAACCATTCCTTACCACAAAATACTGTACCGTAATTTTAAGAGTAATTTATTTAATTAGAGTAATTCATTTATTTAATTAGAGTAATTCATTTATTTAATTAGAGTAATTTATTTATTTAATTAGAGTAATTCATCTATTTAATTAGAGTAATTCATTTATTTAATTAGAGTAAATCATTTATTTAATTAAACTGATTCAGTGATTTTTCAGTAATTATTTCTGTACAAATCACGGAACATCAGATTTTTTAATTCGTTATATGTTCCGTGAAAAATTGTTTTCCCGGTAAAAAATACCGACACCCAGAGTGCCTGTACTTTTTGCGGTAATATGATTCTGATTTTTTTTTCCATTGTAGACAACTTTACCAACTGAAAAAGCTTTTCCACAGAAGGCAGCTTCACCACCCGTAACGGTTTTGCCACCTGATAAAACTTTGCCATCGAATGGAAATTTGTGTTTTGTAATAGCTATGATAGTCTTCCTTAATAATGAGATTTAGGCCTCTAACAGACTTCAAAATTCATCAAAAATGTAAATAAAAGAGATATTCACGAAGAATCACAACATTAACAGTGGCAGGAATTAGATTGTTTTCGACCTACAAGGATTTTATGGTTTACGCTTCTTTAAATACGAAAAAAGACAAACATTTTTTAGATATAAAAAACATACATTAAATAATGTACTAAATTAATGTCAAGTAGTTATTAAGTTTAAAGAGGAGATTATATATGAAACTGATTTTATTAAATAAAAACAATATAAGAATGAAATTTTATGAGAATTACTATATTATTTTAAGAATAGAACAAATTGAACATTATTTTTAAAACGGAATTGAAATTAAAATTTATTTAAAAATCAAATGATTTTTATTTAGTGATGAATAGAAAACTTAAAAATATAACTTAAAGAAATATTTTTTTGCCAGAAAAAAATAAAAACTAATTCATTTTAATTTCTTTTCTCTTATAAATCATTATTGATAATCAATAAAATTTACTTACATATATCTACGTACTTTAAAAAAATAAATAAGCTGTAAATTAAAACTTTCAACATTAACTGTTATAAATAGGTTTTTTAAGTACATAATAGCATGAAAAAAAATATTAATCTTAAGTTTTAAACAACTTTAAATATCGAGCGCCATTATCTAAAATATGTTAAAACTTTAATTATAATATCAAATAAAAAGCTCGAAATTGCGTAGCATGAACCTTCATTTATTTCATTTACTTGATTAATGTGTCCTTTTTACCTATAAGCATAACATTTTAAGCGTACTCTAAAAACGCGTAAAAAAGAGCAATTTTCTCAGCTCTCCTACCACTATTTATCTAAAAGACATAAATCATGTCAATAATTGAATCGATTACTTATTCATGCTCATAAATATATAGCAGATAAAGAAAAGAAATTTTTGATTGAATCAATATCACGGTACAACAGTAGACCCTTAACTTGTTTCAATCAGGAATTTTCCAATATGTCGTTGAACATTCATAAGCTCGTTCATCACATATTTTTCTGCTTCCTTTTTTACTTCACCTAGTTCTTTTACTTTGACTAGTGTTAGATAGAGCAGGCTGATTCAAGTTCTTCGTGGACCTCGCAGAAAGTAATTTTAAAAGGAATAGCTTCATTTCTCACTTCAAATACTTCCTTTCTTCCCTTACTTTTTCACTCTTTCAAACTCGTGCTTTTTGTCTTTCAGCTCTTTCTTTTTTTCTCTGGCAAGAAATTCTTTGGGGGTGTCGCTTCAATGAGCATGTGGATGGAGAAAAGTAGATTTTTGAATGAGGTCATATGGTGAAGTAGATTGCGGATTTTTACCCTCAAATGAGTTCATTTAATGAAACTACCTTCCAGATTTTATCAGTATTTTTATCCTAAAATATTGAGCTACAGTGTTATTTGATTCCTGAATATTAGATAATTTGGATTTAATTATGATTTTTGAATGAGTTCCTATAGTGAAGTAGATTGATGATTTTTACCCTCAAATGAGTTCATTTAATGAAACTAGCTTCCAGATTTTATCAGTATTTTTATCCTAAAATATTGAGCTACAGTGTCATTTGATTCCTGAATGTTAGATAATTTGGATTTAATTATGATTTTTGAATGAGTTCATATAGTGAAGTAGATTGGTGATTTTTACCCTCAAATGAGTTCATTTAATGAAACTACCTTCCAGATTTTATCAGTATTTTTATCCTAAAATATTGAGCTACAGTGTCATTTGATTTCTGAATGTTAGATAATTTGGATTTAATTATGATTCTTGAATGAGTTCATATAGTGAAGTAGATTGGTGATTTTTACCCTCAAAGGAGTTCATTTAATGAAGCTACCTTCTAGATTTTATCAGTATATTTATCCTAAAATATTGAGCTACAGTGTCATTTGATTCCTGAATATTAGATATTTTGGATTTAATTATGATTTTTGAATGAGGTCATATAGTGAAGTAGATTGGTAATTTTTATCCTCAAAGTAGTTCATTTAATGAAATTACCTTCCAGATTTTATCAGTATTTTCATCCTGAAATATTGAACTACAGTGTCATTTGATTCCTGAATATTAGATAATTTGGATTTAATTATGAATTATTGGACATAAGATGGCTTCCCAAGAGATTATTTTTTTAGTATAATCAATAAAAAATTTCAGAGATTTTGTTTCTTCATTTGTCAGCACTTTTAAGAATAAAATTTAGCAAGGGTGACAAAAGCAAGGAAATTAATGAAATAATAAAACATACAACACTAATATGAAAAAACGCCGTGTTAGAATTTTATTTTAATTTTAATTTAGTTCAGAACAGAACTAGACTGGATTTCATTTAAATAGGTTTAATTTGGCTGTAGAAGTATTTTAAACGATACTCAATGAATGAATAAAATTTTTTAATTATACTTTCTAATATTAAACTGCATTAAATCTTTAATTAATTCGTTGATGATTTTGCTAATGTGGGGATAATAGAAATCAACAATACCAACCTTCATCCATTAAAATGTACCTCAAGATTGAATCAAGCTAGCATATATATATATATACTAGTGAATTGATGATTAATAATCGTAAGGGATAGTTACGTCACAATACTCACCCACCCACATTTTATCAGAGATAGAATTCGATGAACGAATACCACTAGTTGCTGTGTTTGTGAAAGACCGGGAGAGCAGGATTAAGGTCACTGGGGTTTGCGTTTTAGCCGTGAGAGTTGTAAAATTTCATACATTTTCGTTACTTTTTATTAATTTGGATAAAAATAATAAATAAAAATACATATGTTTCGCAATTAGATAATTTAAGGTTATGAAATACAGCATGCAACATCTGAATCTTTTTCTGCGCTAGGATAAAAACTTCCAAACACGGCTAACTTCCAAATAATATTTTTTTAAATTTACACTAATTTTCTGTTATTTAGATCTAAGTGAAACATTTATTCATTACTAAAATTTCATTAATTTACAAATTAATTATTTAAATATTTTCACTACTTTTCTTCGGATTTTAAATTTTAGTACTAATATAATTCCGATTAACTTATACATTTTTTACTGACTGTTATTGTTTTTAATAATTAAAAAATATCAAAATATATTCTTACTTGATTATTTAAGATATATATATATATATATATGCAT